TCTTATTACTTTTTTTTTTTTTTTCTTCCCCAGGAAATGGCTACATCGAAGGCAAAGAGCTGGAAAACTTCTTCCAGGAGCTGGAAAGCGCAAGGAAGGGGGCGGGTGTGGTAAGGACCACTCCTGGTTTTGCTCCTTCCTTCCCCATTCCTGAATCTGAAGGTTCAGGCTCCTTTGGGAACGGTCCTGATGAGCAGGAGCGGGGCACCCCCAGGAGGGAAGCGGGCTGGGGAGAGGGGTAAATGCTCCATCCCCTCTCCTTCCCGGCAGGACTCAAAGAAGGACAGCTTGGGCGACAAGATGAAGGAGTTCATGCACAAGTACGACAAAAACGCGGACGGGAAGATCGAGATGGCGGAGGTGAGCGGTGCCAGCCCTGCGGACCCCTGTCTGCTCCTGTTCCCCCTCCCCGGGGTGCTCCTGTTCCTCCTGATGTGCGTGTTCCCCGCAGCTGGCCCAGATCCTGCCCACGGAGGAGAATTTCCTGCTGTGTTTCCGCCAGCACGTGGGCTCCAGCTCGGAATTCATGGAGGTGAGTGAGGTCGGCTGTGCCGGGGCTCCCCACGGGTCCCCGGTGCCCAGCTCCACCACGGAGAAACAACCGGGAGGTGGCATTGCCCAAACCACCAACACCCCCCCAGCCCCGATTTCCCCCAAATTTGTGGCTTAAACTCAGCACTGGGAGGCGAGGTGGGTGTGGATGGTGCTGGTTTTGTGGGGGAGAGTGGGAGTGTGATGAGTTCTTCCAGTCCTCAGCGCTCCTCAGGCACCTCTTGGAGCAGCCGGGCCCCTCGTCCCAGTCTCCAGCTGCAGGGATTTGGAGCTGGTTCCGTAAATTCCCCCTCCGGGGCGGTCGGTCCTTAGTGCCCAGGGGATGAGCTGAAGCAGAAGACGCTGCTCTGGGCCACCCCAAAACCTCGCCGTGCCCTTGCACGGGGTGGAACCACCTGCAGAGTGGGAGAGAAATTGCCAGTGGGGACGGAATTATGGCTGGGGGTGGAGGGGGACGTGCAGGATCCTGGGTGGAGGGGCAAGATGAAGCCAAGGTGGGGGCGATGGCTGAAAGAGGAGCACCCCGTGGCACGGGGAGGGGGGTAAGTGGGCACTATTGGTTTATTGGGGGATGCAATCAAATATTAAAGCCCGGCCTGGAACGCCGAGGGGAGGATAATAGCACCTGAACTCTTGACGTGGGGCTGAACAAAAGCATCTGGCCCCAAGGGACAGCACGTGGCACCAGTGAGGCC